AATAACAACAGTATCTAGTATAGGGTTCTGGTATGGCACTGCAGGCTAGGATAAGCACTGGACTGTTAACTGCAAGGTCAGTGGTTCAAGCCCATCAGCAGCTCCTTGGAAATGCTATCCAGCACTTAACAACAACAGTATCTGGTATAAGGAATCCTGGTGGCATGGTGATTAAGCACTCAGCTGTTAACCAGAAGGCCTGTGGATTGAATCTACTAGCTGCCCCGTGGGAAAAAGATGTGGTAGTCTGCTTCCATAAAGGTTTATAATCTTGGAAATCCTATGCAGTAGTTATACCCTGTCCTATTATATATAGTGTTGCTTTCAGTTGGAATTGACTTAACAGCAATGGCTTTAGTACCTTGTATGCACCTAGGACCTCATATGCATGCAAAAGCTGGACAGTGCTCCTTGGAGGCCAGGATGGCCAAACTTTATCTCTCATACTTCAGACATATTGTCAAGAGGGACCAGTTACTGGAGAAGGATATCATGTTTGGAAGGTGGAGGGTCAGAGAAAAACAGGAAGACCCCCAGAGAGAAGGATTAGCAAAGTGGCAGCATCAATGGGCTCAAGCATGGCAACAATTGTGAGGTTGTCAGTATTTCATTCTGTTGTGCATGGGGTCGCTATGAGGCAGTACTGATTTTATAGCACCTAACAACAGCAACATGCACCTAGGAAATGTCGGTGTGTTTTTTTTTCTTTTATTTCAATTAGTAAATAAAACCAGATACTGTTTGATTTTAGACAGAAAAAAAAGTACTCTTCAAAGGGCCCTGAAAATTGTTCAGGGCCCTTTGATAAATTGCAGAGAAAATTTACCATTTTAATGGCCTACAGAATTTCATACTGCTTCATTACATGGACAACAATATGTTAGTTGGTCTTGGTAAAGAGAAAGTAGCAAGTATACTAGATGCTTTACTAAAGTGATGTGAAAACCAGAGTTTGGAGATTGAAATTATGTTAGAGTCTGCTACGGAGAAGTTTATAGGGGTATGATGATTATATAATTCAGGATATTCCCTCAAAAGTCAGAAACAAGTTGTAGTACTCACAACTCTCAATTTAAGAAAGAGACCCAATGCTCGGTGGGCCTCTTTCAATTTGGGGAGCAACATGTTCCATGTGGGTTACACATTGGATTGCTAAATTGGTGGATAAAGCCAATCAGGAGAAAGATGTGACTGCTTGCTCCTGTAAACATTATAGTCTCAGTAACTATACAGGGTTGCTATGAGTCAGAATCTACTCCATGGCAAGGTGGGGGATCCTCATTAACTACCAAATAATCTATAGGTGTCTAGTTTTCATTAGGGTCCAGAGTAAAAAGCGCTCTGCAGTAGGCCTAGTTTGAAGCGAAAATGCCCTGCTCTTGGGCCCTATGACCCAGCAGAACTATTGTTTTGGAGTTATCCATGACAGACAGACTGGCTTTAAGGAGACTCTTATAAAGCTTATAAGAGTACCACACTTGGGGATTTAGACTAAAGCTTATTCTAATGAAAACTATTCTATATTTTAAAAATAGCCCCTGGCATCTACTGATTCATTTTAGTTACTGACTACTTGGACATGGGACAAAAACTGAATATGTATCCCAAAATACCCACCTAAATTCGGAAATTCCACTGAATCATAAACATGGATATGCAAACAGCATTTCATTTTAAAATGAATTTCTGTAGACAAGACCAGGCCCGAGGTCATCTGGAAAGTTCATGTAATGTTTGGACTCCTATGATATCTGTTCCTACTGCTTTGCTATTTCTCCTTCATTACCTTTTTATAATCTCATGGGACACTTCCGATGATCCATTGTTGTTGTTAAGTGCTGTTGAGTCAGTTCTGACTCATAGTCGACCCTGAATAGGATTTCTGAGGAGTGGCTGGTAAATTTGAATTACAGACCTTGCAGTTCAAACCTACTTTGCAGTCCAGCCCATTAACCCACAGCACCACACCAGGATTCCTATTGTCTAGGACATACGCAAGCACTGAGAAGCTGAGGCCCAGTGACAA